TCATACCCCTTAAATAACAAAAGCTACGTAAAGGTTCTGGCACAAAACTGGGCACAGACAACTCAATACATGCTGAGTTCACACCTTCCGTTAAGTTTTTAAAATTGTCATCTGAATTGTAGAGTCCCCATAATTGCTCCTTTGCAGCAGGGTACTTTTGCTAAAGCCTCCTCTGGGGTAGTAGCAAACTCAAGTGTGGAAGTTGTATAATAATCTGTAGGGGGGAGAAACCTTGGTCCAATAGGAGAAAAATCCACAAGGACTGCTGCTTACAGTGTCCTTTGTTATGATACTTGGTGTGGGGTTTGGCTGTGACAGTTTAGACGTACAGATACACACAGGCTTGTCTTTTTCAGGGATTCCATAAATCTGTACTCTTTGAACACTAGGCTTCATAATGGTAGGGGCCGTTTTTTTCCTCCCCTTTCTCACTCTCCATACAGGAGAGAAACTATATGATCAACAGGCTGAATTAGGCGTTGGGCACTCTGAGGTGCTCATTTTAACATTGAACTGCACATTTGTATTGAGCAGGGAGAATGAAAGTTATTAATCCTGGGGTAGTGTTAAATCACTTTCATAGACCTAACAGTTTTCATATTTTTGGAGTGGCATTTGTCCCTAAACTGAACGATGTCCTCAGTTTCTCTATCTGTAAAATAGGGGTAATGGTCTCACCATCTTCTTAGGAATAGCCTGACTATTATGATACAGAGGAAAGAGCACTGGACTGGGAGTCAAGAGAACTGAGCTCTATCCTCACCTGTGAATAGCTGCACAGCCTTTGGGAAAATCACTTCACCTCAGCTCCCTCCCCTCCAAAATGAGAAGTCCAAATTAAGCAACCTTTAAGTCAGCTCCAAGATTAAGAATGATAAGCTTTTTAAGCAATGAATTAAGTGGCCCTCTTCTTCTACCCAGAGTTGCCAGATGAGATTCCACGTGCACTACACAGAGAGGGGAATTTGGCACGTGCTGCCCATGGTAGGTATGTGGTATCGATGTACCCACCATGTATGTCACGGCACCACACGCCACACATTTGAAGAGGGTGAGTGTATCCAGTTGGCAACAAGAACCCTAGGGAAGTAGAGGTATGCAGATGACCTGGATACCTTCACACAAGGATTATCAATTTTAGCACAAAAATGGAGCCTTCTATTAGGCATTCTTTTCAGGCTTCCTAAGCTACCATCAGCCTTCTGACTCATGGGTGGAGGAATTACCCATTGGTATGCCTCAGCAGGGAGAGACTGGAAAAAGAAATGGGAGGTTGTCTTGGGAATGTTAGTCCTTTCTCTTGGGAGGGACCCAAGCATAGCAGGTGAAGAGCTGCCTCTATATTCATTTGATGGTCACGCCAAGTTCGAGGCAGGCCACCTCCAGCCCCAAACCTTTCTGGATCCGCATGGCACCTTAGAATCTGCATCTGCCTACAAATACCATTGTATTTCCCAACTGTAGGAAAGAGCCACAGGGTTTCCAATCAAAGGCCCGAGTTTCAGTCCCACCTACACGAATTGTCTGGCTGTGGGCAAGATGCACCAGGGCTCTGAGCTGGTTGACGTAAGGATCAAAAGACACAGATGCATAGAGTGTTTCATCCCAGGGCTGTTCACAGCATCCCTGTCCCTCACTCCTCTGCAGATCTTTTCCTACCCAAATACTGTCCCAGAGAAGTTTTAAGTGAACGCTGTAAGGCTGATCCCTTTGTCCGGGGTACTTGAAGAGTGGGCTACACCATAAGCCAGAGGGGACAGAGCGCTGTAGTCCAGCTGCTTTGAAGTGACATGTTTGAAAGAAAGCTCTGCTTTTTCTACCTTCCTTTCACCCTGACTCCCACACTTGCCCCAGCAAAACCCCAGCTCTCTTCTCCTCCACCTTAGCTTGGTGGTATGTCACTTGACCCATTCTGGATCTCGGTTTGGCTTCTTCTCTGCCTGTGTAGTCCCTAACAGTTGTGGCCTGCAGATGTCCTCCAGAGAGCTCTGTCTCAGACACTGCTTGCACAGAACAGGAACCTCAAAGAGCCCTAGCCCACCTTCATTTGGGATGTGCATCACAGCAAGGAATGACGACACGCCCTGTGGCCACCACTGTTGCAGCCTAACTGAGCGCTCACCTCCAGTTCACAGCTGATGGCAGTCATTAAAAACATAGGACCTGAGTCACTCCCACCAAAAAAGCCAGGGGTTAACGAGTCTCCTCTATGAAAAGATGCCTGAATGTTCACCTCCAGACCAACTACACAGAGGTTTTGCCTTAAGACCAGAGGACTATTTAAATGTCAGTTTAAAATAGCTATTGTGCCATCGTGGAACAAGGAAAATGCACAGGCTTGGGAGTCAGACTGTCCCTGGGCTTAAATCCCAATCTTGCCATTCGCCATTTAGGTAACATCTTGGCAAACTGCTGGACCGGGCATACACATGTGTAAAATGGAGATACCGATACCTTTGCACAGTTTTTGCAAAGATTAAATAATACTGCATGTTGTAAATTGCCTAGCACTTATGAAGTGCTTAGCCTAGAGTGGCTGCTCAAGGTTTTTCCTCTTGCTTCACTCTTACCAGACAAAGGATAAATTATCCCAAATATAGCTCGTTTAGGAGGGTTTAAAAAAATTGTAAAAGGCCAACAATACAGTAATTGAAGAAGTTCCTCCCTGATCATTTCAATTCAGGTATTAAGGTGTCCTTAATACCTGAATTGAGTGGACAGATCCATTTGCAGCACAGATCTCTCATGCAGCAGGACTGCCTCATAGTGGGCCTTTCAGCTGTGCACCCCCTTCCACCCACCCCAACCCCGATTGCAGCCTCAGGTTTGAAGGAAAAGAGCCATCAAGTTTGTCTAGGACCTTTAGACACCAAATAAAGATTATAATGGAAACTATCATTTATGCAATTAAAACTATCTGTTTTCCTGGGAAGGTCTCACTGTTAGAATGGCTTGTTTTGATTTCCTGATTTATATTGAGACCATTTGTGTGTGTGTGTGTGTTTGTGTGTGTGTGTGTGTCTCAGAAGTAACTAATCCCAACACAGTAGGTTGATTTGGCTTAGTCTTAATCTATTCAGAATATTTCATAGTCTATATCAAATCTTGCAATTGTTTGTCCATCTTGGTCAGATGGCTCATCAAGCCAACCAAAATAAGCTCTACAGTTCAGTTGGCCCCTTTGTTTCCTTATGCACAGATAAATCTCAGAAGACATGAACCTCAAAGGACATAGCGACTGGATTTGAAAAAGAACCACTGCAAAAACTTAGCTGCCACCTGCAATATAAATTGCTTTCATTTTAATTCTCCTTCATAGTTTAGAAGTCTAAAGTATAGTTAAAACTGGAAACACATCCAATACAAGTTATATCTTAAGGTTATTCACCCAAGATCCTTAACTTTAAAGCCACAAACACGTTTCTACAACAATTACCATGCTGCAATATAAGTACATAAAATGTTTAGTTCTAAAGGACAAAACTACATACTTCTCTGTGCTTTCATAATACACTGCTTTAAAAAAAAAAGTTTCTTCAATTCAACCTAAAACACCCAAGTTGCTAACTTCCACGCAAAGCCATCACAAGAAGGAATTCTTTCTGTCTTAAACTGGTAACGATAACAGAAATTCAAGGCACAAGCAGCTTTTGAAGTCGAATGTAATTGTATTGTGCTATTGAGGTACCTTTTCTTAGCAGAGTAATCATAAATGTCAAATTTTCTGGGATTGTCCTGATTTTGAATGCCCTGACCCATTCCCAAGCTTTGTATTCAAAGTATCCCACTTTCTGATTCTAAGAAGAGTCAACATATAGTTTAAAGAAAAGTGGCATTCACACCCCAGAGAGGGCACCAAGAAAAAGAGGGAAGGAAGGAAAGAAGGAAGGAAGGAAGATAAGAAGGAAAGAAGGGAGGGAAGGAAAGAAGGAAAGAAGGAAAGAAAAAGAAAGAAAGAAAGAAAAGAAAGAAGGAAAGAAAAAGAAAGAAAGAAAGAAAGGAAAGAAAGAAAGAAAGAAAGAAAAGAAAAGAAAAAAAGAAAGAGAAAAATGGCTTAAGCAGTTCTTATAAAAAACAAAAGTAGGTATCACCATCCGAACTTGTCTTTATTAAAACTGCAATTTTTTAAAGTCTGTTTTCTTATATCTGAAGTAGCCCTATGTAACATTATTTCCAAGATCAATTAGGAGGAATTTTACTTTACTCTCATAAAACATCTCCTTTTTTTATGCACTTTGAGTACCCTAAGTGGGTTTATAATTACACAATCTTAATTGAAGGGGTACGGATGAAATAACAATTTTTTTCTCATCTCCAACTTCAATTTTCTACTCCTAGGTACCTGAGAAAAGCAAATAAGGTACATATGGCTGTAATTCCTCCTGTTTTTAGTTTCCGAATGGATCTTTTCTTACGGCAATGAAAAAGAATAGAAAAATGCTTGCTTTTGTGCTATGAAAGAGAGAACAGAAAAACCAGTCCTTGAATATTTGCAACAAAAGATCATCACTTGCTTCTGGAATTGACATCGGATTAAAAAGCTGAAGTTTGGAAGTAAAACAATTTTGCTACTCTTTAAACATTTTAGCAGTTTAAAAGTACACTAAAAATTAAATACAAGTCTCTCCCTAACAGTACACACCACTTGCGGTGACATTCTGCACACTCCTATCTTGCCACAGTGTGGATTTTTTCCCCTTCAAATGAAAACCTACAGAAATAAACTCTGAAAAGGATAGATTGCTCCCCCCTTTCTATTCTCATGCTGATGAAAATATTTTGAGTGAACTATTTTCTGATCACAAAATTCATATTCAGTTGTTTTTTTTTTTAAAACCAAGAAGCAGTTATTTAAAAGAATACATTCTATTATTAAAAGTTAGCCAAGACCAACTAATAAGATCTCAAAAATGAACATATTTCAAAGAATTCTGTTTCACTTCAATAGTTGCATGAGTTTTTATCTTCCCCTCAGGAAAATGTGCAAATATCAAGGTTACCTGAGTCGGCTGGTCACTTCTACTTTTTGGACTCCTGAAGATGGTGAGTTTTGCTAATGATGCGCGGCTGTTTAAGAAGCGGGTGGCTTTTCTGGCAATCACTCTTTGTGTGCCATCTTTTATAAAGGTGCTTCTTGTTGCTAAGAGATCAGTTGCTTAGAGACCAAATCATTAAAAAAAAATATATATGTCAGGGGCCAACATAAATTATAACCAAATTTTGTCATTTCAGTTCGCCCTCTGAACGTTTGGCTTTTGTAATAGATCGTAGCGTACGTACCAAGAGAAGCCAATTATTAATCGCAAATAGAAAACTGACCATGAGGAGGAGAAAAGATCTGTGCGTACGCTCCCATGGACAGAGAGTAATGCCAATTCTCCCTTTGATGGGAGTTGCATTGTCGCTAGGCTGTCTGAAACTTTGGCTCCTCACGGGGGGGTCCTAGAGGTATGCTGCGAGTGTGGCTGTACACACACACGCACACAGACACCTGTCCCAGGCAAACTTGAGTGCAGTTTGGTGTATGAACACACATGGGAATTGTGGAGCTACTTTAGTCTTTTCCTAAGGAAAATTTAGGTAAAAATGCTACGCTTAGGAAAATGTAAGTTGGAAATCTGAGATAATCTTAGCCTTCAGCCAGGTATTTTTATGTGCGAATGAATATTAAGTTGTCACTTGTCACTGCTTCGGGTCCAGGTATGTACATGGCAGGGGCTGGGGGTGTGTGTGCTTGAATAAAAAAATCTTTCTACCTTTTATCTTCTTCCCTGTGCTCACAAATAGCATTAGCCAAGAGGCAGGAATAATACAATTGGCTAAGTATGCAGGGTTTGGCTTGGGGGGGGGGGTCTTCCTCTCCCCTTTTGTGGCAACACTGTCCATTGAGACACTCAAATTCATGGCTAAATACTCTCCCTCCTGGGGACATTTACATTTTAGGAATATACCTTTAAATGAAAGAATCTTAAGTGCCTTTAAGATTCAAAGGAATGGTGGCACTCCAAGCTTCTTCACAGGTAGGATAAGAGATGTTCGGGTGCAAAATAAAGCTGGACACAGCCCTTCACTATGTACTCCCTAATGCGACTCCCTCCTGCATCTCTTCTTTTTCGACCACCTCCCCCATCCTTCAGGGTCCCTGTGACCCCTGTGTCTTGGGTGAGAAGAAGGTAAGCCAATAAGAGACCAAAGACTTGGAGTTAAAATCAAGATAAGAGGTAAAAAAGAGTACCTAAGACCTTAGAGCTTCGCTCCTTTCCTAGCCTCAAAGTGCTTGCCATTATAGAAAACTTCGTGCCTTCCCCGTGATGGGAAAGGCATCTGGGGTTGAACCCACTGTAAGGGAGAGGTGAGGACAGGCCCTGGGCGCCGGGGACGGGGGGCGGGCAGGAGGGTGCAGAGACGAGATCGTGGTTCTCATTCTACTCTTTAGCACGGGCCCTGTCAGCCCGGCATCAACCCATCACTCTCACCTACAAAGTAGGCGAGAAAGCCCCACGACCAGTTTGAGTTTCTTTAGATAGAGATATGTGCCGGTAAAGAGAGAAAAAGCTGATACCCCGGGCCAGCGGGATGCGGCCAATATCCAGCAGAAGTTCACGGCAAGAGGAAAGAAAACACTGACTGCCTCTGCCCCAAGCTATGGGTGGGGATGGTCACAGAGCGCTTGGGTGTCACAGAGTCAACTCAGGTGCGCCAACAAAGCATACGTTTTCTCTCAAAGTCCCTTTCTTCCTTCTAACCCCTCAAATTTCTCTTTGCTGCTTATATTTTGGGATAGAAATGGAAACAGAAAGGACCAGAGACAGAAGGAATCAGAGGTGGGAAAAGGCAAGAGAAATACAAATGTCTGGGCACACAGCCGCTGCCTAGGAATCGCTGGCTGAAGGAGAGGGAGGAAGAGGCTGTGAATGCCACAGAAAGCACCTCATTCTGCTCCCAATTCCTAGTACTTTGCACAGGGCTTTCGCATTTAAAACACAATCAAATGTTTTTGTAGAGTTCTAAGTCAAAGGATAAAAGGAGAGAGACCTCATGGGCCTATGGGGGTCGAACTATTTATTCCTTGGCCCCAGACCCCACGTGACTGGGGCTCTGCAGACTTTGGTGCTTTGGACTTTGATCTAAAACCAAAAGCCGATCCTTCTTATCCATCCACCTGCTTTCTCACTCTTCCAGCTCTGATTTCGCTTTCTCTGCCTGTAGCCATTTGCTCTGGATTCTTAGCTCCCACTTGTAGGACAGGAGGCCCCACGCCTGCCTTTTGGCCACTTTCTATGTAGGGAAAGGTAGGTTGGGCACCACTCTGGCTACTCAACCTTGGCAGGCTCCAGGCTCTCATCAGCCTGGGAGGAGGTGGGCAGATGCAATGGTCGATGAAGGCCCCTTGTCACCACTCAGTGTGGCTGAAGGAAATAGGCTTGGACCCACAAGGGCTCTGCTTACAAAAGTTCCAACATGAAGCTTGGAAAAAATGTTTTTAGCACAGATATATCCACTTGTGCCAAGGAATGTGGCCGGGGTCATTTTGGGTCCTGCACTGTGGCAGGCCACTTGTCCACAGGTACCCGGACCACAGAGCTCCCACAGTCTGATCCCACCACTGCCGGGAAGCTGCCTGGCCCATGTGAGCTCCATGTCCCAGCTGCAGGGATGGGGGAACCAAGAGCAGTGGGTGTTGGCCTCCAGAACAAAGAGATGGTACAGTGAGAGAATCCGAGCCCCAGGACAGTCCTTATAGAACTGACTGCCACCGCAGGTGCCTCTCATGGGGGAAACCAGCGATCTGGTACCACCCCTCACTGAACTCCCGAGAGACCCTGGTGCTGTCTATTGCCTCCTGTCCAGCTGCCAGTAAATCCCGCAGGTCTTGGCTTCTCCTGGCTGAAAATTCAACAGACACCATTTCTAGGAAGCCTCCTGCAGCCTCCTCACTGCACAGCCTTTTCTACCTTAGATATTGGAACACATTCTTCAATAAACGTGGTGACGTTGTACATCATTTTAATGCTCATTTGATGCTTTAGGTTTTTTTGCTAATGACTTATTATTTGCTGTTTATTTTAGATTTATTTTAGACTGTGGAAATGATGTTAGACAAAAAGCAAACTCAAGCGATTTTCTTATTCGAGTTCAGAATGGGTCGTAAAGCAGCAGAGACAACTCACAACATCAACAACGCATGTGGCCCGGGAACTGTTAACGAGCAGACAGTGCAGTGGTGGCTCAAGAAGTTTTGCAAAGGAGGCGAGAGCCTTGAAGATGTTCCTCTTTCTCCAGGAAACTGCTCCCAGGAGAGGCCAAGTGGCCTACGGAGACACGTGACCTACTAGGTAAGGCTGCAGGCTGTGCCAGGTGTTCTCAAACCTCTCTCCCTCCAGAGGTTCCTAGGGCAGCAAGAGGGAGCTCGGCCGATACCATGCAAGGCTGCTTTTTCCAGGCCATTTCATCTGGTAGATGCCATGGGCTGGGCAGAGACCAGAGCACCAGGGGACAGGAGAGGAGGGCCTGCCCTGAAAAGTCACACCCAGCCATCCAGCCTAACAGCCACTATTGAAGAGGAGGATTTGGGCAGCAGAGGGCAGCCAAGCACAACTGCCTCAAGCTGAATCCGAGGGTGACTTTGGGAGGCAGAGGGGCGGGGAGGAGAATGTGCCCTCCCAGGGGACAGCTGGCTGCTGGGCTGGCCAGAGGTCCTTGCGGCCAAGCTTACCCCCTGTGCTGGTTGCCTCTCTGAACTCTGAAAAACCTTTGTCACAGTGCACAGGACCTCTGGAGCTCTAAGACCTGAGACAGGGAGGCCAGGCTCAAGGAGCAGCAGCCCTCGAGGCGCACGGTTACAGCGGCCGTGGCTGCTGTCACCCCTTCTTCTAGTCTTGCCACATGCTTGTGCACAGCGGCCTGAAGACATGACATCCATCTTCTCTTTTTGGCACCAGTCACCACAGCCCTACTCCATAGAAAGACCTGTGACCACCTTGGTCCCCCCTTCCAGATTGTATCCTGGCTTTGTCGGGGCTACCTGTCTCCGTGTGCATGCCCACCGTTTCACCCACCAGTTCTCCAATAACCACCTAAAGAGAAGGCAGGACAGACAGTGTCACTGGGTCTTGGGAAAGATTTGCTCTCTCTCCCACAATGGGCCCGATCCAACACTACCCAGGGGAAGTCACCTGTGACAACTCTGCCCCTTCTCTCCTGCCCGAACGCCCCTTCCCTCCCCGCTCCGTCTCCCTTCCCACCCTCCCCGCCACACACAGACAATCTGGCTTCCACCCCCAGCAAATCCCAGAGCTCTGGTCACAGCGACACTCCCCCGAGCCAGACGGCCATGGGGAGCCACAGCAACCCCCTTCCCAGCAAGATCCGCCAAACACCTCTGACGTGTACAGCACCCCAACCGCCTGGGGCTCCAGAACATCACAAGTGCACGACTCATCCTGTTAGTTACCAGACACTCCAGGCAGGACGCTCTTGGACTACAATTTCTGTGATACTGAACATGAAGAAAGATCAGAGCCTAATAAGCAGTCCAACACAGTCCAATTTCTCTGCTTTCCTTGGAGAAAGAACCATGGTGTTCTTCCCATAGACTGTTTGGTCAACCAGAGCCAAACAAATAATAGAAAAATAGAAAATAATAATATCAAAAGAATAGAAAATATATTCTTTAAGAAATCAAGAAAAAAAAAAAAACCTGGGCTCTTCAGCAGAGAGAGAAGAAGGCTAAGACTACTAAGACTATGGCAGGGTTAGCGTGATGTCTCCAAGAGGCACTGCCAACGCACCGTGAACTTGGATGCCAGTGTGTTCTCTGGGCAGGTCTGCTTTGCAACTGCAGGAAACTGATTTGAGCCTCCCCCAAATGGTGCCATCTGAGATTCTGCAACTGCCACTTCCTTGAGGATGTTGTAAACCTCCTTGGGATTCTCGGGCAGCCGCAGCTCAGACATTGGTATCACTCTGCAGAAGGTGGCCTGTTCCCACAGGCCCTCCAGGCCCCTCCTAATCTCCTGGGCTCAAACACCTTTCCCCCAACTCTGACCTGGCCAAGTCTCCACCCTGCTCTCAAATGGCTGCTCCACCCTCCTGTTGTTCAGTTAAAACCCCCAAAGTAATTATGAAACTGACTTCTGATTTTCTTCAATGATTTAGAGCTAAAACTATGGAATGAAACAGAAGCACCACCTCCTCGACACTCAACCCAAAGCAGTGCCCGGTGACCAGCTGCTTTTATTGGCCACTGAAGCCTGTGTGCATCTTGGAGGTGAGCTCAAGGTGGAGTGCTGTGCAGTGCCTCAATGGACTAGTCCGTGGATGACTAAATTTGATATTCATAAGCTAAAGAGTATTACTGGAGTAAAATGTAAGCACTAGAAAGCTGCTTCGGTGTAATAAATTTAAAACACCATGAATTTGACTAAGCATCTTAAGGCACTGGAGTTTCTATTTTTTTCCCAGTGTATCTGCCATAAAAAACCACGAACCTCTCAAGTGTAAGGACCATGTCTTACTCATCTTCCTCTCCCTGTCCTGCTGATGCCGTCGCACTCAGCGGTTTGCAGTGAGTTGTGATTGAATGAAACTGCTCACCCTCTGGTCCTGGCCCACCTTCCCTGGCCCTCCTCAGGTCCTGACAGCTGAGTTGTCTGCACGCTCAGTCTCGCCACATTCCCAGACCAACGACATCCGAGACAGGGATTCCCGTTCAAGCAGCCACAGCTCTGCCCGCTGTCCCAAGTTTGGCCTCCGCTCACTTCCCACCCCTGGGAGTCTAGTTTGGGGGCTGGGGCCCGGGAGCTGGCCACGAGTGTTCCACAGCTGCTATTGGAGTCACAGATTCTCCGCCATCCCACGCCCTTTGGGGCCACTGAAACCTGGATAGTCTTGCACCTCCGGGTTCATCACTAGGCACCTGGCTACTCTGCTTCCGTTTCCTCCCTCCCGACGAGCCGAGCGGCAGGTGCTCCGCTGCCCCCTCCTCACCCAGGGCACGCTCCTGTGGCCCGCCGCAGAGAAACGTCCTCTTCTCCCCTCAGCTCAGGTCTGAGCCCTGGCTCACAGCCGGCTCCCTGCTGAACAGAGACCATCCTCAGTCACGGCAGCTGCCCCTCCACCCTGGCCGGGGGCTCTGCTCTGCTCCTCCCTGCTTCCCGGACTCCTGGCGCCGGCCATTCGTCCAAACCAAGATGGAGGGCGGCCGTGCCCTCCGACCTCCCACCTGGCCTGCGCTTGGCGTCTGGCCTGTTGCTGATGAGAGCACCCTGCCCTCCGTCTCCTGGCCTTCGACATGGTAAAGGCATCTGCAATATGGCGGTGACCCCCTCCCAGCGCCCCCCTCCCCAACTCTATTCCGACTTCCTTCTTCCACTGTCGAGAGAATTGGGAGGTGAGCCAAGTGAGGGGTGGGGCGTTCTAACACCGGGCTGTTGCTCTAGAACTAGGGTTTTGGAAGCAGAGGGTGGCGGGGACAGGTCTCTGACAACCAGGCGTGCTGAATCGTCTGGGACAGTCCTACTTTCTGTGGGATTTTATTTTTTTCAGTGAAGGTCATTTCCCTCAGCTTTCCTAAATACACAAATCTTTACACTTCAAGTGCCTTGTTAGACTTCACACAAAATTCCAAAAACATTTTAAAAGAATTCCTTTTCAAATCATAAATGTGGGAGCAGGGGGCCTTGGGAGGAGTAGCTGACTGGGCCACTGCTCGTGCAACTCCTGGGACAACCGTGGGCAGAGAGGCGCGCTCCCAGGACCCCTGCCCCTGCCTCCCGCCCCAGGCTCACGTTCCAGGAGTCATGCTCTCATCAACAGGGACGTGAACTTGACTCTGTTTGTCATCCTTCTGGGTTCTTTCCCACAGAAGGCTGTTTAACCAACCCGTTTCAGGCTGGATGGGTCCTCGTGGGGCATTCTGCAGTGCTTTGATGGCAGGGGTTTGCCTGCCGGGTTCTCAGCTTCCCACAGCGCCCCCTCTTCTCCCCACTCTGCTTCAGCGAGCTGAGCCGGGATACCTGGACCTCCTCTCCCCACCCCTTGCTGGAAAATTTTCCTGAGTCATTCATCTCTTCTTGTAAATGGGAGGCAACTCTGTTACCTTCTCTAGAGCTACTTGCATTTTAAGCCTTTTTGGAGTGAACCAAGGAACGAAAGCTCACCCCATGGAGGGAATTTTTAGCATTTAACCCTGGGGGAGAGTGGAGGGCTCTGGGATAAAGTGGGAGGAGCTGGGGAGGGTCCCTCTTCCAGCTCCCCAATATCCTACACAACACTGATGCTGCCTGGGTCAGGCCTGGGCAGCCCCCACCTTCCCCACCATGCCTCTGCCCACCACTGAACTCCAGGCCCACTGCCGAGTCAGTGGGAGGCAGACAGCAGGCCTGAAACAGAGGCTGAGTTGCAAAACCATCTCTTGAATGCAATCTCCCCTGGGTGGTGCCGGCCTGCATAAGCCCATGCTCCCCTAATTCCTCAGGGTTTCTATTTACTTTGGGGTCCTGCTCAGTTTGCCAGGAACCACCTGGGAATGAGGCAATGTGTTTCCTTTTGCACAGTGCCTGGCACATAGTAAGCACTCAGTAAATGTTAGCTATTAATCATAAAAAGAATAAACCCAGAACGGGATCCACGGGATGCTGGCCCAGAGGCTGCTAGGAGTGGACAGGGGACCAGGACAGTGGTACACGCGGCTCAGGTCTCAGCACACACCGGCGACCATTCATTTAATGTTTCCGAACTGAAGGGAGTTTGGGCTCTTTAAAGTGGAAGAAAGAATGTCTCCTGGCCAGGTGATAATGGTAAGAGTCCCTTATTATTCTTAAATCTCCAGCAGAATGAAAAAGGTTTTCCACACGCTGACTAAACGCCCTGCTCAATGCCTGAGATGGAGATTTACAAACCAAAGCCCCACCTGTCTTCTGTCTTGGCTGTGAAAATTCCAGTCAGTAAGGCGATGTAGAGAGTTTCCAGAGGACCCAGCACCTTCTATGGGAAGAGGTAAGTCTAGGGAGGTGTGTCAAATCAATTACGCTAACACTATTTGCAAGAAATTTGCCTAAAGCCAGGGAACAGAAAGATAAACAGCTGGAGGTCTGCTCTCAGAGCCCCGAATCAACCCTGCTGCCTTAAGCCCAGGACCATTGCATTGGCTTCTTTCTTCCCTCCCTCTGTCCTGTTGCTCCGCACATAGTGGTTGGAATTTTGCCTCCATTTCCCAAGACTCCCTGGATTTCCACGTGGTCTTCTAGTGCTGCCTTTACTTTTAAGCCGCTTGGCTGGGGTGCAGTGGTTGATCCTCCGCCTAGGCTCTTGCTGTGAGGACTAAAGCCCAGATCCTAGGTGCAGGTGAAGCCCCATTTCACCCTGAGCGTCACCAGGGCCTAAGAGCATTGCCCCACCTCCAGACTGGATACCTTTGGATAAACACCTGCTACCCTGCCCCTCAAATTCTACGTCACTGATGTCCCGGCATGCCTGGTGATTGAGCCAGCCTAAGTTTGGCAGAAAACTAGGTTTAAGGCACACTGTAAAAAAATATTGAAAGTAAAGGTATGGAATCAAGGGTCAGAAGTTTCAAACAGGGAATTAATATGATCAGAACTGTGCTTCAGGTGGTGGTAGTAGACAGAGTGGATTGGGGGGAGGGGCAGAGCCTAAAGACAAAGAGTTGGGTAGCATGGACCTAGATGACTTCCTTTCAAACTAGAAAGGAGGGGGCCCAGTGCGAGAGAATTGACACGGATTTGGGGAGGTGGAGGGGGAAGGGGATGTACATTGTTACATTAAACAACAGTGGGCTTAGATGATTCCAAGCCCACTGTAGAGGGGAAGTGTTCATGCTAATAAGAAATGGGGAAGGGGACCAGCATCTAACAAGTGCTTTTTTCACAGTGAGCACTGGCATCGTTCACCGAACATGAGAAAAAAGGACCTTGCTTCAGATGCTACACACAGAAAAGTGTAGAACCAGAGTTCCAACCGCAGGTGTGCAACCCCAAAGCCTTGGAGTTCTTCCTAGAGAGGCTGGAGGAGGAACAAAATAGAGGGTGACGATGACAGTCTCGAACGTGTTGAGGGGCTGGCAGGACAGGCAGCAGTTAGAAGCGTGGGCAAGGGAGGACTGGAAATGGATCAGACCGGCAAAGACAGGGAGTCAGCTGGGAGCCGCTTTCATGGAAACCCCGGGAGTGGGTCAAATCTCCAACACAGAAAGAAGACAGAGAGAGTGGGGAAATGATCTTGGGCTGGAACCACGAGGGCTAGGTACCCTAGGCTTAAGAACTAAGGAAGGAGCAGAAAAGAAGCCATGAGAGTAGAAGAAAAACCAGGAGTCCAAGGAGGGCAGTGTTAAAAAAAAAAAAAAAAAGGAAAGAGAAGCCATGAGCTCAGAACACTTTACGCTGACAAGTGAGTTGGGAAAACAAGGAAAGGCCCCCGGCTTCAGCAGTTAGAAGCACACCGTGACCTCTCATCGAACAAAGTCAACCAGACGGTGGGCAGAGATGATAATGAGATGACAAGTGAGGACTCTTCTTCTTTCAAGAAATTTGGCCGTGAAGGAAAGAGGAGAGAACAGGGAGAAGTGGGTGAGGGCTGCTGGAGGAACTGTCTTCTTTGGACCCCAGAACAACCGAGTGGGACGGGCCTTAGTCCCTCAGCTCTCAAAGAGAGAAGTCCCCAGCCAGATTATCTGCGGGGCCTGCGTAGACCCTACTTCAGTGCCAGTGCTTTTCTGCTGCTTCTCTTTCAATCCCAACTCTTGCTACCATCCCTGGCCTACAAAGTGGTTTGTTCTCGACACACTCGGTGCTGCAGTGGGAACGACTCGGAACGCGACGGCAAAGTGCCCGGTAGATCCAACATCTGTGCGGAGCTTCGGGCGCTTTCAGAAACTGGCAAATCGTATCTGACTTCCACAGATCTGGTTTGTTGGTCCTGGCAAGTGCCTTCCAAAGGTCTTCAGCCTTCCAGCTGGGGAGGGAGGGGGCTGTCTGGGGGCAACAAGGCTAAGAGGGGAAGGTGCCCTTCACTCGTACCCGGGCCAAGGGAGCTGAGACCCTGCCCCTGCCTTCTCCACCCAGATGGGGCACCTTTTTCTAAATAGCACAAAGGAGCTCAGGCCGGTAGGGGCCCTGCCTACACGCGTGTGTTGGGAGAGAAGACAGGGGCCTTCTTGGTGGGTGGAAAGTTGCTTTTTCCTCAAGAGAAGCCATTTTCTGCGATTGGGGCCTTTTAGTGGGCACAAGCCTGGTCCCCAAATACCAGCTGCTCTGGTTTTTCTGCTTGGCACCAAGGGGCATGCCTGGGAGAGCTCAGACTGAGTGCTCCGATGGCCCCGTCAGTCCTGGGTGGACAAGCTCAGCCTCTGGGGGCGATTACCCGGTACAGTAGGGGAAAGGGGCTGAGATCACATGCTGAGTTGTAGGAACAAGCCATTAAGAGTTCAATGCCTGATGAGAAATATTTTCAACTGCACAATTTGCACACATTTTAAATACAGTATTAGCAAGTCTGAGCTAAAAAACCCCCTTGAAGGAGCCAGCAGAGACCAGACCACAAGAGGTTAAATCAAGTGAAAACTCTTCTTTTTAAATGGAACTGCATTTAGTCAAGAACCACTTGTGTAGGATATGTCTTCAAATCAAATCTTGTTGCCATTTGCCAGAGAAAATGTGCTTTAATTCCTTGATGCCAAAGAATGTCTGCTACATTGTATAATGAAACTAGAATAATTGAGCTACTTGTTCATTATAAAGATCTCTAGCCGAATACTCAAAATTCTTCAGCCGCTGAGTGGGCTTGGACTGAATTAACAACGTTCTTTTTTTTTAAATTAATTTTGAGGTAGGACATACATTTTACAACAGAATTTTTTTGTGTGTGAAGCGCTTGCTGAATGCTTTTTACTCCAAGAAGGATCACACATTCTTTGTTGCTAGTGCCAGGGTGATTGAGAAGGACAACTGAAATGTTAGCCAGAATGTTAAACAGGAGCCCAAACCAGCCTCGACTCTGGTCTGTTTCCCCAGAATCTTCCACTATACTCCCGGCTCCCTAGTACCCCTGTCTTCTGGAGCTCCTGCCAAATCGTCTCGCCTCTCTGTTACCAGAACACCTATCCTCCCCGTGGGCTTGTGAGCCCTCTGAAAGCAGGGACTGTGCCTTATTAGCATCCCGGTCCTCAAAAGCACGCCACAGGGCACTTGACACCTGGGATGCTCTCGGGAAGCATTGCTACTGGGTTTAGAAAGCTAGAGTCCGGTAAGAGATTGCAGAATAAAAATGGAAAAACCAAGTCCAAAACTCAGAAAGACGGATGCTTCCTCCATCCCGCTAGACGTCACCGAGGCACAGTCTCGACATCTTCCCGTCTCACGGGGAGATAAAGTGACCTGCAACGTCAAGCCTGGTCCCTCGGGTCCGCTTCTGTCTGGTTGGCTTTGAGCAAGACAGCCAAGCACCGCAGTTCGGAAGCACTTGGGAGGGGTGGTGGTTTGGGGAGTGGAGAGAAGAGTGAGAAAAGAGAGAGCGACACAGTCAGACGCCGCCAGACCAAAGAAAGTCGGCAAGAGAATGTCTCCAAGGAAGTGCGATCATTTCAAAGACCACAGCCAGGTGGAGGAGGAGGATGACCAAGGAAAGACTCCTGGGTTTCAGAAAAGTTGCCAGTATAGTTTCCGGAGAGGTGCGGCTAGAGGCTAGATGGTGGGAGAAAAGAGGGGCTGAGGCCTGGGACAAAGACCATGCATTTCCAGAGCCAGCCGTGAGAAAGCAGGAGGGGACAGCTGCTGGGAGAGGGGGCATCTGGGTCCAACTGGGGCTGGGGGAGGGGCAGACACTGGAGCTTGATTTTAGCAGCACCCTCCCCCCACACCCCACGGCAAGGGTTATGGTAGAAGAGGCCTTGAGAGAAAGAATCTGAGGAGCAGAGGAAAAGTACTCTTCCCTGGAGACTGGAGGGAAATAAAAAAGGATGGGCGGAGATCAGACGTGCTGTCGAGAATATCCCTCTCCCAAGTCACGATGACACGGGGTGGGCCGGTTGGGGAGTGGCGTGACAGGGATGGGATGGGGACCTTCGAGATCACTCTTCTGCAGCGTGGGCTAGTCTTTCAAAAGAGCAAATGCGCAACAGTGTAGATCCATAGACCTGTGTCAGATGACACCATCACCTCTAAACTGGTGACCCCCCAGTGCCCATCCATGCGCTAAAATACGGACAACGAGGTACTTTTTTTCAGAGAGCCAAATTCAGTCTAAAGGACTGTTTCCTTTATGCTGAGATTATATTCCACTCACTTTTTTCGGTATTAAAATATTTCTTTGCAGAACATGAAACAATGATGGTAGATCAGAGTTTTTTCCCTCAGTGTCTTTACTTAGCGAAATTCAAAAATGATTTTCCTAGTGAGTGCTCCCCCCCCCCCCCGTCCACCATCACCATTTATTTTTCATATTCCTGTCCTGTCTGTAAAATAAATGACTGGGGAGACATTGCTCTGAAACTGATGTTCACACACCTCCAAAATACAGTTTTAAAAGACAATTTTAAAAAAACGAAGTACTTTTGAACATCCAAGGAGAGACATTTCTGGTTTGCTCTCCCTGGTTAGGATTTATAACTCATGCTAGGGTATCCGTTGGATGATGAATTGTTTCCTGTGAGGCCCAGCTTAAAGGTGAGCAGGAAGTCAAGACTTTTTGACTCGACTATTCCCAAAAGGGCCAAAAGTGACAACTTCTGCTTATACCTTTCTCCAGAGACACCAATGAGCATGTCTGAGGTAGGAATTGGGCTCACGAGCAGCCCTGGGGTACTTTAGACATGAAAGGAACTTGAGGATTCATCTTGTCTAGATTATTCTATCTGAGGGAGCAGATTTACCCCAAGACCATACAACAGCACATTTACCCCAACCAACTGGTGGCAGAGCCGAGAGAGAGAGAGAGAGGCCCAGTCTCCATGCACCCTGGCCAGCTGTCTCTCCCCTCCTCCACACACTGGGACCCAGCTCAGGGCTGCACCAGCCTTCTCTTCCTCAAAACACAGGCCCACGCCAGACCACAGCAGCCTTGGCCCAGCATGCCAGGCCTAGCTAGCCTAGCATGCAGTAAAGTGCATTTCCTCCTTTGTAATAATGGCTGTTTGCCTCAAACATTCAATGCCTCCCGATGGTGTGCAGCCTCTCCGCCCCCTCCACGAGGGGCTTCTCTTCCAATGACCCAGGGCTCCGTTCCAAGGCCCAGGCTCTCACAGTCTGCCTCAGCCTCCATGATTTCAACAAGGCTTTCCTGCACACCCTCCCCCTGCTTCAGTGGCTACCCCCAGCAGTGGCATCTTGTCTTCAGTGAACTCTACCTCGTGTGAGCCCCGATTCTCTCATATTGGCACTAAAATTCTCATCACAGTATTCTTTGAGAAAGATCAGAATGACAAAAACACCTTTAGGACTGGTGAGGGCCTAGCAGAGTGGCCTTACAATGAGACTATAAGGACATTGTGGACAGGGGGCATTAGACTAGGGGAGGATTTGGGCCACTCTGAGGAATGGGCAAGGGCCCAGGAAGGCTCCACAGGGAAGACATTTGAGCCTGGCTTTGAAGCATCAGTTAGAGGTGGACAGAGGACCTTCCAAATCCAGATCCCTGTCCTTAGATATGGAATCAACTCCAGAGAGCAAAGCAGGGGCCGGAGGGGAGCACTGCATTGAGAGCCAGGGAGGACTCACCAGCTGGGATGCCGCTACTGTTTCGGGGTAGTGTAAGAACCAGATGGTCTTTCCTTACTGACCTGGGATGTTCCCCCCTGCAGATATTACAAAGTTATCTCTCCATTGCCTATAAACTGACATTTAATGCCCAAACATCATTGAAGTTACTCTGTATTTTTGGCTTGTTTAATTACCTTGTTTAGAGTTTGTAGAACAATTAAGTTTTATGGAGCCCATTCTATAAAAAATAAGGTGTAAGAACTAGTTTTAACTGTTGTATTGATGAGTTAGATGAGCTATGTTAACATCCCGTCACCATTTATACCCTTGGGTGATGATGACAAGTAATAATACAACCACCTTATGGTACACGCTTACGATAAGGCATTTAGCTCGAGATTGTGTCATGAGCCTCTGTTTTAAAAGCTCACTGAAACTAACAAAGAAATCCAGAAACATATTCTACTGATCTTGGAGGAAAGGGCACTCCAATAGGAATTAGGATGGCTTGGCTGCTAGCTCTGGCTCAGCTCTGAACACTAAGTGTCCCGTCCATAAATCACCATGCACTTTCTCTTCTGTAGAAAGGAAGCAATTGCCTAAGGGGTGGGGGGAATGGAATAGATGGTTTCTAAGGACTCTTCCAGCTCTGCCATTTCTAGGATTAAATTCCAGGGATTCCTTTATTGAACAGTGGCCCAGAACATTCCCGTCCATGACTATCAATCATGCGCAGCATTTGCTTCTGAAGCTCCAAAGCCCTGCTTTCCCAAAACACTCTTGGCGTTTGGTAATTTATGGACTTCAGAGCTGCTCAGCTGCTAACGATCGCCGTCCCACTGTGGCTGTGGCCCAGAGGGAGCCAGCAGGGCTGTGGTAGCTGGGTCTGGGGCAAAGAATTCCCAACCCCCCCACACCCTGCCCCAGGATAATGGGATCACTGCCTTTCCTCAAATGAGAAAATGAGGCCCGAGCTGACGGCTAACGTGAGCTTGCCCACGTGGCTCGTAGGACGTTGGGAAAGGAGGCAGGGCTGGGCCAGGACACCCCCATCTGCCAGCTCCGTGTAGGTTTGCTGGAGCCGGAAGGGCATTTCCGGCTTCCTCAAGCCTCTGGCTCAGAGGGCTTCATAGGGAGGGGCAAGGGGCCTTCAGCCAAGATCCAGGACCGTTCCTTCTGAGGGCCTGGGTACTCCTGAAGATGCCATTGTTAATGGTGTCTTCGGCCTGAAGGACAACCGGGCTTCTTGTCACCACTAGGGCTTCCAACTGATCCCTGGTTTACATGGTTTTCTGTTGAGCGAGTAAACACACACGCGTCCCTGCCCCCAGCGAGACAAAGGCCATTCATTCGCAGGAGCTGCTGCCCAGCTGACAGATGTGTTGGCCTTCTCGCCCCGCGGCCAGCCATGCTGCTCTGACCCCAAAGGTGAAAGGCTCTGTCACCCATTCTCATCCCCCGTTTGGCCAGTAGCTACCCAGGATCATCCAAGAATTTTGACATTTATCTTTCCTCCCCTACTCCTGCCTCCACAGATCTAGTGGCTCCCAAGACACAGCTGTTCCCAAAGTTGCCTTTGGCCAGGTCAGCTGGAGAACGGAAAACATGGGCCACGTGCTCAGGGCCGCTTCGCCGCAGCTGCTCGCGTTCTCCATCTGCAGACCCGACTGTGCCTCCGCAAGGAAAAGGCCGGGAGGAGCCCTTCCGCGCACTTCCCCACGGGAGAGCAACCTCCACGAGAAGTTCCTTCGCAGGAGCTTAGTGGCTGAGAGAACAAGTGCCACCTTTCTGGCTTATCAGGACCTCAGTGCTTAGCAATTTCCCATCCACTTGTAGTTCACAGCCCAGACCTTTGCAGACACGCTAACTTTTAGAGTGGGGGGGGGGAATGCCCAACCACATGGTTGTCGGGACCAGAGGAAGGAACACGGACCTCCCGTGGGACACTTAGAGAAGGAGGACACTATGGATAAGGTGACATTTGAACTGAGCCCAGAGGAAAGGGAGGATATCACAGGGCAGGGATGGGGGTGGGGGCATTTTCACTGGCGCGGTCACATCCGGGTCAAGGCAACAGAAAGCAGAGCCCATCTGGGCAGCAGGGAGGAGGGACCCCAGCCGATGGGGCAGGACCAAATCGCCACAAATGCGCTTCTCCAGGGCGTTGCCAGCCCACCCAGAGTCCCGAGGAAGTTTTTGCCCAGTCTGGGCAAAAACGCTCATGCAGACTATTATAGAAATCCATAAGAAAAGGGCTTTGAGTGGGAAGTGACTCCTAAGCCGTCCTTAAAAAGGAAGGCAACTCCACGATCTCAACTCAACCTTCTTGTTCTAGGCTTCTCTGGAGTCTTCCAACATTTTCCTGCATAAGTTACTGAGTGTTCTGTGCTTATAACCTAAACCACAGCAAACAAGAGGGCTGCACGCAGCCTCGTTAGCCTCTCACTGAGGGTTCAGACTCTTGAGAAGTCGTCCCGACTGTTCTCACAGGAGATCATCTCTGGGGCAGACGGCCAGGTGTGACTGAAAGAGGTTGGAGTCACCTGTGGGAGCAATTGAGTGAAGCCAACACCTGGCTCCCCTGTCAACTGCCAAGGAAGGCAAAGGGTTTCAGGAAGAAGACCCCAAAGGCCTGCTCTGACCACTGCTGCCAGGTCTGGAGCTCCGGAACTCCTGTGCCAGAAGCGTGAAGAGTCTGAGCAGTACCCCCCGTCCCCCCCCACAGCTCCCCTCTGGTCCTCTACTGAGAACCAGCAGCACCCACTGCCTTTCCCTCCTCTAAGAGGCGGCCTTCCCCCAAAATTATATCCTTCTTCTGTGCCTTTCTTATTCTAGCAAATGCTTGTGGATCCCTATTTGTGTCAATTTTTTTTTGTTGTTGTTGTTTAAAAATATATGGTAACAAGGACATTCCCCTGAGAAAATCATCACCCCCAGAGACCCAGAAGACAATAGTAGGGCACAAACTGAACTGGACACCAATATGATTCAAGGCCGGCAAAGTGTGATCAGAGAAACAGCAGGAAGGAGAAAGAGGCGAAGAGAAGTGAACAGAAAGCTAAGAAAGGAGACTCCCTCCCCAGGGAAGACAATGCAGCCAGTTCAGGGTGGTGGGGAAGCTGTCAGAAGAGAAATCAGATCCAAAGGAAACTGCCACTTGAGCGTTAAAGAGGTGTTTTGCTTGTTCTCGGAATGGGCATAGGAAAGAAAGCTAGACTTCTGAGGCTACCTACTGGCGGCAGACAGAAGCTGGGAACACTGAGTTGAAACCCCTAGATAGCAGTTTCTCACACTGGACCTGGCCACGTTGCCCCTTGTAACTTTCCTCCTCTCTCTGATACCCTGAGATTATTTGTACCCGTCTAGGCTTGCTCTTGCCCCACAAGGGCAGACACTGAGCATAAATATGAGATGGCACAAAGCTTCCTTTCCAAATTAGGTTAATTGTTATGCCTTTCTGGTCCTGACTTGACCAGAGGCAGGCTCCACCTCACTTTGGATGCAGGGGCTACACCTCCAAGGCCAAGGTGCCTTCTGCCAAGCCAGTTGTATAAAAGGTCAAGCAGAGAATGAAAGCCCTTTCCCTCCTCCTTAGGGTCGGGGGCTGCAGCCCTGAACACTGACCGCCGTCTGGCTTACCCCTACCCCCCCATGCCTCCTTCCCTTCTTCATCTACCACCCAAGACATGCTACTGCTCTCTCTGGCCCGAGTCTTCTGCTCTTCCTCCTTTGATTGACTAGACCTGATTTGTCTGTTAGCTTCTTTTCTATAAAGTATCATTTGGTTGCTTTTTCTTTGGAAGCATATTTTTATTGCAGCCCAAATTCAGCCCATTGGGAATGACGAGAACCCCAGGAAAAATACTGGTTATGCCGGGACTTAAGAGTCCAAAGGGTGTGATGCCACCAAAGATTAAACAAATATTTTTCTTGAAAGTGGCTCACCTGTTATCAAAAAAGTTAAGATTTCCCTAATGATTTCCCTACTAAAGAAAAAATTTCACAAGATCCCTTCTGTAATCTGCACAAAATGGTAGAGCTACATTTCTAACCTCGTAAAAAGAGGCAAAGGAAGAACTGGATACAATGGAATGTAGGCTTCTTAAAAGTTTCCCATTTTATCACCCCTTTTTGAATTTTTTTTTTTTTTGGTTCTTATCAAATAATTTGTTGCCATCTCCTCCCCACTCAGTGTCACCTCCAGTCCTCTTTTTCACCTCTACCTGCCCACATACTGTTCAAAATATGTGACCATACTGGTTCCTCTGGCAGACATGAACTGAACACTGATCTGAAACTATAGCCAATTTAACTGAGCAGTCCTGAACTCGGCAGGAGCATTATTCACTTGAGGGAGGAGTTCACTGACCGAGAGACCTTGCCTAGGCCCTCGGGTGTGTCCTTGGCTGCACCTGTGAATCACAAACTCATAGAAGAGTGGGGCCGAGGGTTGGTCACAGGGCACTTGTCAAATCTAAGTCTGGGCTCTCAACTTTTAGACCTTGCTTCCCATAAACAGCAGCCTATTTTCATCACGGCAACCCCGGGCAAAACGCTAATGCAAAGTATTATCCATGGTGTCCTCTTCCTAGAGAAGGTGCCGGGGTCTCCTTAGCCTCTGACTTTCTCCAGCTAGCCCCCCTCACAGATCACAGCCTCCGACTGAAGGTGTCTGATGCCATAACTGGAACCACCTCTGATATCTCTGCCTGTGCAGAGTTCCCTGTCATCTCTCGGGGTCCAGCTCAAATGCGACCTCGTCTTGCAGGCCTTCTTTGACATCCGGCCTGCATCTTTCTCTCTTCTGAAGTCCGTGGCTAAATTAGAATTGCCTCTGCTCTATACTTGGCACTTTTTACCACTAGACAGTAAGCTCCTCAAGGGCAGGATCCATGTCTGATTCATCTCTGGATCCCCCGGGGCTGAGCCCCACCAAGGCCTCCTCAGAGGTACACAGGAATGGCTGGGAGGAGCGAGGCTCTAACTGGGCCAGTTAGGCTGGAAGGCACTCGGGCGGGGAGTCTGCCTCTTCCTACGGCTGTTCATTTCCCTTCCCTCTCCTTCTCACCCCCAACCCATTTCTAAAGGACCTCTTCTCTGACACTGTCTTCAGCCAACTGTCACTGGGGGACAGAGTCCTCTGGAAAGGCTTCAGCTGTTAACAGCTTAGAATGTTGCAGTTCCCAGGAGTCTTTGCACCGGATGGTGGAGATGGTCGGGGGAGGGTTGAAACGATATGTGCTCCTATTAGAGGATTTAGGCAGAACAGGCTGGGCAAGAAGCACTTGGAGGGAGAGAGAGCTGGTCCTTGAACAGCCCTTCATAGATGCTTAGTACTCTGAATGGCTTTTCTTCTTCTGCCTAGGCCCGCTCTTTCTCTTTCTTTCTTTCTTTCTTTCTTTCTTTCTTTCTTTCTTTCTTTCTTTCTTTCTTTCTTTCTTCTTCCTTCCTTCCTTCCTTCCTTCCTTCCTTCCTCTCTCTCTCCCTTCCTTCCTTCCTTCCTTTTTTTTATTTTTTGAGACAGAATCTCACTCTGTTGCCCAGCTAGAGTGCCATGGCATCAGCCTAACTCACAGAGACCTCAAACTCCTGGGTTTGAGTGATCCTTATGCCTCAGCCTCCTGAGTAGCTGGGACTACAGGCATGCACCACCATGCCTGGCTAATTTTTTGTATTTTTGGTAGAGATGAGGTCTTGCTCAGACTGGTCTCAAACTCCTGAGCCCAAACGATCCGCCCACCTCAGCCTCCCAGAGTGCTAGGATTACAGGTGTGAGCCACTGCGCCCAGCCTGCCTAGGCCCTTCCTAAAAAGCTGTATGTCCCAGCACATGGTAGTACTTAAGTAAATAGTAATTGTTCTTGTTATTGTCATGACTATAACGTCAAGGACATGAACAGGGGAAAACATACATAGTTTGTCCTAAACTCGTGAGTACTTGGAGATGCCAAGTAGGAGATGTAGGTGGGTTTTGTTAGGCAGAGGTTCTGCAAGGCAGTGTCCATCTGGGTTTTGAGGCATCTGCCTCTCTGGTGGTAGAAACAGTCTGAAAGCAAAGGCAAAGTGAAAACCAGCAGGTTGTGTGTGCACAGGGCTGGCTAATGACTGCAGAGATGGGCCGTCTAGGAGAACGACATGCAGGAGGCAGTCGGAAGGGAGACAAGAGCCCACTTGAAGGGACATTTAATTGAACTTAATTGTACGTTGCAGGGCTGGGTGCAGTGGCTCACGCCTGTAATCCTAGCACTCTGGGAGGCCGAGGCAGGCGGATTGCTCGAAATCAGGAGTTCAAAACCAGCCTGAGCAAGAGCGAGACCCCGTCTCTACTATAAACAGAAAGAAATTAATTGGTCAACTAATATATATAGAAAAAATTAGCCGGGCACAGTGGTGCATGCCTGTAGTCCCAGCTACTCAGGAGGCTGATGCAGAAGGATCACTTGAGCCCAGGAGTTTGAGGTTGCTATGAGCTAGGCTGACGCCTCGGCACTCACTCTAGCCTGGACAACAAAGTGAGACTCTGTCTCAAAAAAAAAAAAATAAATAAATAAATAAAAATTATACATTGAACTTTGGGCTGCAATTGCATGTGCTGGTGGGTCATTAAGAGGAAATGTCTTCCAGAAGCCTGAAAATCCCAGGCTGAGGGTGAGAGGTGGGACCTGTGGCCACAGGATATGAGGAGATCATCCAAAGCAGCAAGTGCAAAGGAAAAGGCAAGGTGCAGGATGCAGTGGAGTATTCAAAGGATGATGATAGTGGCAATAGAGGTTTCAGCTCTTCCAAGCTCACCAGCTGCAGTAAAAGAGTCAGGAAAGATAAGGCCAGCAAGAAAAATATACAATGGGAGAGGAGGAAGTCATTAGAAACTTTATGCTCCAAGGACAACTTTGTTTAAAAGAAATGTTGCCATTGTGTTTATTTAGTGATTCCAGAAATTAGCATTTGTATTATTTTTCTGGGTTGGGAGATACATTGAGGGCTCTATGTTGAAGTTCCCACTTAGCCCCTCTTCCTGGTGCTGGCTTTACACAGTGGCACCCCTTGTCTCTGGGGGATTGTGGAAACCATTGCTTTCTCCCCATTCTTCTCCCTTTATCTGCCAGCCAGGCAGTAAATCTTGCCAAATAAAGTCATCTTTACATGACTTGTGCTTCTTGTCCCCCCCCACCCATGTCACTAAGTTAACATTTACTGTAAAGTTTAGAAGGGAGCCAGCAAGACTTTCCAGAAGTAAAACTCTCTATTTTTTTTGTCCCAACTCAAGCCCACTCTCAGGCCATATTAACAAAGGTTTTCAGTGGGTGGTGAGATGATAGGGAATGTTCATTTCCTTAACAATTTCTGCATTGTCCGAATATTACTTCCATATTTAATTTTGTTTGTTTCAAAGAAAGAGAAGCATATTGTAGATTAGTGGAGTTATTACCTTCAGAAAGTCTTCTAAGACAATACTCCTAAGCCACAAAACTCCCAGTGACTCGACAATGCCTCTATGTCTCTTGCAAGAGAAAATCCTCAACATAATATTCAAGATTTCTTATTTATTTTTAAAAATATGCATGACAAGAAGCTCTACAAGGTGAGCTTTAGGATTGTGTTCAAAATAGATCATGTACTGTCCCCCAAATGGCCACATCTCTTAACTTTCCACATAGGGTGTCACTCACGAGCACCAGCTCTTCAATGCATTACAGGAAAATGTGATTTTGGAAGATGCCTGGGAATAGAACTGTCAAGAGTGTGGCCTATGTCATGTGCCTAGGAGAAACTCAGCTAGCACGGAAGCATGGAGAAAGAAGTTGTAAGGTCACGATTGCCACAGAACCAAACGCCAACAATATGAACTTGACCTGTGCAACACAAAGTGCAGCTCACACACTTCCACTGCTCATCTCCACACTCTGGGCCAGATGATTTCTCCCTGTGTACCCCACGCTCTCTGCGCACCTGCTGCCAGAACTTCCATTCATTGATCCAACCCTTCCTGAGCACCTGGCACGTGGCCTGCATGGTGCTTTGGCTCTGAGATGACAGAAATTGGTGTGGCAGAAGCCACCCCCCCAACCCCCCAAGAGCCTTCTGAGCTAAGAGGAGGAGACCCACATCTGTGTCACCGTCAGCAGATTACTGCTGGCACAGAGCCACACACAAGAAGTGCAAGGGAGCACAGAGAGGTCCTAATTCTGCTCTGGGGACAGGGCGGTGAGGAAAGGAGCAAAGGAAAAGGGTTCCAAAGGAGAGAGCCCTTGCACTGATTTACCAGGTCAGCTAGTGGGGGTGGGAGAGCCGTAGAAGAAAGCCAGGGAACCACGTCAAGAGAAAGGCTCAGGATGGATGAAGGAGGTTATCCGGGGTCTATTCTGCAAAAAACACTGAACAGAAGCCCGAGCGCATCGACCTAGGGCATGCGGGGAGTAGATGTGGTAGGCAGAATTCTAAGGTGGCCCCCAAGATGCCTGCCCAGGTGCACACGCCTGTGTGTGGGCAGCACTTGCAAGTATGATTTCACTCCTGCAATTCTGTCACTTGCCTTATATGGGGAAAAGGATTTCATAGATATCTGCATGAGCCTGGCCTTTCAGAGGCCCCAGGCCTTCCCAGAAGTGAGTCAGAGGGTTTTGGAGCATCTCCAGAGATGTCCTCGAAGAAGCAACCTGCCATGTCATGGAGAAGACCACGTGACAGGGTACAGCAGGTAGCCTGTAGAAGCCGGAACTGAACTCTGTGGATGAGCAGTGAGCTTGAAAGAGAACCCCAAGCCTCAGGGGAGATTGCAGCCCCGGCCGACACCTTGATTTCAGCCTGGTGAGATGCTGAGCAGAGGAGACGGCTGACCCAGACCTGGATTCCTGGTCCATGTGAGATAATAAATTCATGTTTTAAGCTACCAAGTTTGTGGTAATTAATTACATAGCAACATAAAAGAATACAGTGGGTAAAGAAGACTGTAAATTTTTTTCTTCTTCTTCTTTTTTTTTAAGAAACAAGATCTTTCTCTGTTGCCCAGGCTGGACAGAAGTGGCATCATCGTAGCCTCACTGCAGCCTTGAACTCCTGGGCTCAAGCGATCCTCCCAAAGTGCTGGGATTACAGGCATGAGCCACGGCACCCGGCTAACTTTTTCTATATATTTTTAGTTGGCCAATTAATTTCTTTCTATTTTTAGTAGAGATGGGGGTCTCGCTCTTGCTCAGGCTGGTCTTGAACTCCTGGGCTCTAGCAATCCTCCCACCTCGGCCTCCTAGAGTGCTAGGATTACAGATGTGAGCCACTGTTGAGCGATTTTCTTATTTGAGTTCAAAAGGGATCATAAAACAGCAGAGACAACTCACAACATCAACGCCTGTGGCCCAGGAGCTGCTACTGCGTGTACAGTGCAGTGGTGGTTCAAGAAGTTGTGCAAAGGGGACAAGAGCCTTGAAGATGAGGAGCGCAGTGGCCGGCCATCGGAAGTTGACAACAACAAATTGAGAATGATCGTCAAAGCTGATCCTCTCACAACTACACAAGAAGTTGCCGAAGAACTCAACGTCGACCATTCTACGGTTGTTCAGCGTTTGAAGCAAATTGGAAAGGTGAAAAAGCTGGATAAGTGGGTGCCTCATGAGCTGACCGAAAATCAAACAAAAAATCGTCATTTGAAGCGTTTTCTCTTACCATATGCAACAACGACGAACCATTTCTCCATCAGATTGTGACATGTGACGACAACCAGCGACGACCAGCTCAGTGGTTGGACCGAGAAGAAGTTCCAAAGCATTTCCCAAAGCCAAACTTGCACCAAATAAAAGGTCATGGTCACTGTCGGGTAGTCTGCTGCTGGTCTGATCCACCACTGTTTTCTGAATCCCGGCGAAACCGTTACATCTGAGAAGTACGCTCAGCAAATCGACGAGATGCACAGAGAACTGCAACGCCTGCAGCACTGGTCAACGGAAAGGGCCCAATTCTTTTCCACGACAACGCGGTGAATTGGGCTACCCAAGTGTCATCTCGTCCGCCCTATTCCCCTGACCTCCCGCCACCGGGCCACCACTTCTTCAAGAATCTTGACAACTTTCCGCAGGGGAAAACACTTCCACAACCAGCAGGATGCAGAAAATGCTTTCCACGCATTCATCGAATCCCAAAGCATGGATTTTCACGCTACGGGAATAAACAAACTTATTTCTCGTTGGCAAAAATGTGTTGATTGTAATGGTTCCTATTTTGATTAATAAAGATATGTTTGAGCCTAATTGTAATGATTTAAAATTCAAGATCCCAAACTGCAATTACTTTTGCACCAATCTGACATAAAGGTAATTAAGAAACCCTGTCGTCCTCCACAGGGGAGCAGCGCTTGAGTCCAAACCCACGGTCTTTCCTCGGGAGAGGAATGCGGAGGTGAGTGGTACCAGGGGTAGCTCCATAACGTCTCCTGATGAGCAAGAAGTTGGCAGAGAGAATGGGATCCAGGTGGAGATGGAGTGAACACGCAGGGAGCCTTCAACAGTGCGTTCCCGTCAGAGGCAAATGCTTCACTTCTGCCCCCTGACACTTTGAATTTCAGAATGTAGTTGTTTCCTAGAACTTGCTTTATTTCTTTCTTTTTTTTTTTTTTTTTTGAGACAGAGTCTCATTCTGTTGCCCTGGCTAGAGTGCTGTGGCATCAGCTGAGCTCACAGCAACCTCAAACTCCTGGGCTCAAGCAATCCTCCTGAGTAGCTGGGACTACAGGCATGCGCCACCATGCCTGGCTAATTTTTTCTCTATATATTTTTAGTTGTCCAGCTAATTTCCTTCTACTTTTTTAGTAGAGACAGTGTCTTGCTCTTGCTCAGGCTGATCTCGAACTCCTGAGCGCAAACGATCCGCCCACCTCGGCCTCCCAGAGTGCTAGGATTACAGGTGTGAGCCACCGCGCCCGGCCTCTAGAACTTGCTTGCATCTTACTACTTGCTCCCAAAGGCACAAAAATAAGCTCTCCCATTTTGTGGTGCATTCTCAGTTTCTTCAGCATATTGAAAAAAAATAAAAGAAAATAAAAGAACAGCCAGTTTATTTTTCCTCCAAAAGAGCCAATATTTGGGTTTTCTTTCTTTTTTATAGTTTTGGAAGAGTTGCAGCAGTTATTTTCTTTGAACTGGTGAATCATTTCAATGTCTGAATCATTTAAAAGGGTTCAGAGGGACTATTTCTTTAATGTTAGAAATAATTAGAGGTTATATAATATGCATAAGAAGGACAAATGGCTTTAAAAAGAAAACCCTCTGTCTTTTTTTCTTCCACCACTCCAAGGGCCCTAAATTCCCCTCTGGAAATAACAAGACATTTTAAATGACAAAGCTATTTTTAGGAAATTGCAAAGCTCTAGTAGATTGAGCAACAGAATATTAAGCACCTATTGTGTGTGAAAAGCATGGTACGGTGCTGCTGTCCTGTCTACACATGGAAGGAAATTAGGGACATCTCAAGACAATTAACAATACAGGATGATTGTATTTGGCAGGAGTCCAGGCCATCAAAGGTGTCATTGCCAAGCAGGAGCTGCCTAGAGCCCAGCTGACCAGACCTAAGCCCATGTTGGAAGGAAGGGTGAAACCCGTCAGCGGTGAGGAACGAGGGGAGGGCTGCAAAGGGGCAGGTTAAGTCGGGAAGGTGGGAAGGGTCCAGGCATTTGTGCGTAGCAATAATAAGCAAAACAGTTGGGTCAAAGGTTGGATTCATCACAGGGAAATCTTTGGTAAAACAACCGATGGTGGAAGTTTTGATTGCTGGCTCTAGATCTTTCCAGCATCTAGTGGAAAGCTGCTGAAGGCTTTTGGATCCAACAACAGCAAATGTTTGAGGAAGATCCATGATCAGCAGTGTTTGGTTTGGGTTGGTGGCAGAGAGCCTGGTGAGAGTTTCTGGCAGAGTGAAGGGGACCCAGCCAGGGCAGTGGCAGTGGAAAGGAGAGGAGAAAGTCGTATTTAAAATATAATATACTGAAAAATTGCAGTGGGCTTACTCTGACATTCTCATAGAATTAGCTCATGACTAATGAGAATGTCAGAGATTTAAAAATTAGTCACACCTGGCATAGAGCTTTGCAAGGTGTAAAAAAGCTGCTCCCGGGCACGTAGGAGCCACCCTTTAAAGATGCCCTCTGGGTGCAAATTGGGGCCAAACTACACTGCTGAGTCCTGGGTTTCCATAGGCTTCCACATGTCTGGTCCCCAGCTAAGCTGCCAGTGTCCAAGTTGCCTCAAGTTCACTCCTCATGGAGATAGTGCTGCAAAAGGGGAGCAGCCTGAGAATGCGTGTGGCCAGCCCTAATGCTAGTTAATGTGTCCCCCCCCTCCCCCCGGCCCCCGACACCATTCTTGCCTCCTCTCTGCAGCAGCTGTGAAGCTGAGTGATCACCCTCTGCTTTGTGCCCGGAGAGTATGGAAATAAAGGAGATGGAGACACGACAGGTAAGAGCTAGCATCTATTGAGCACCTACAGTATACCAGGCCTTCCACTAGAAACGAATGAATGCACCTGCCCACCTGCCCCACGTTGAGCACTCAGGAAGCGGAGAAACCTCCCACGTCAATGCCCCCAGCCCTCCCCTGAGCCAGAGCCGGCGCTACGGGCAGGTGGGAAACTGGGAAGGATGATCCTGCCACCCTGGGGCTGCCCCTGATCTCCACCGAGCAGTCAGCCCTCTGTCCCCAGCTCACTGCCCTGGTCAGAGGAAAATGTTCGGGGAAACGATCCGATCCCTGCCTTCCCTCACTTTTCCTTCCTTTGTGTCATGATCACTTCCTTTGTGTTTTGTTTCTTGTTCTTTGTTTTGTTTCGCTTTGTTTCACAAAGGGGGATAAGCACACGCTTGGATACACTCCCAGGAGACATCGGTCCAGAGAACCTGGGATCTGGCTTCCCAGTGGGCATCTTCCTCTCTTGAGACCCCATTGCTGCTGGTATGGTCTCTTTCCCCCAAAGTCCTCCCCGATAGGACCCACGTGTCCCTACGACGACGGCTGTGGCTCTGGTGGTGTGAGAAGGGGGCACACCCAGACCCCACGGCCTTCGAGGCTGGCACAGTGGGTCAGCAGGACCCACACGCAGGGAGGCCTGGATCCCCGTCTACGATTCGCTGGTTAGCGCCTTGGGGAAAGCACGTCCCCTCTGGGTCTCTCGGTCTCCTCTTCTTCCAGGTGGGAACCGCAGCACCCATCACACGGGCTTGCTGGGTGGTGGTGGGGAGAGTAAGGTGACTGGTGCACGGAGCGCCCTTGCTGACATGAAGGACCCCTCGTCTCCCCTCCCGCCTCCTACCCCCTTTCCCAGCTCAACGCTCTGGCACGACTTCAGCGCAGAAAGAGAAGGCAAGCGCTTTCAAAGAGGAAAAGCAGGAGCCCGGGAAGCGTTAGGGACTGAATGTCTGTGTCCCTTCAAAATTCGTATGTTGAGATGGAACCCCCAGTGTGACGGTGTTAGGGGCGGGCCTTTGGGAGGTGATTCGGTCACAAGGGCAGAGGTCTCGGGAACGGGATTAGTGCCCTTGTTAGAAGAGGCCCCAGAGGGCTCCTGAGCGCTCTTTCTGCCATGCGAGAACACGGCAGAGAGTCGGCACTCTGTAACCCAGAAGGGGCCCTCACCAGAACCTGACCCTGCCGGCACCCTGACCCGGGACGTCTAGCCTCCAGAACTGTGGGCAATAAATGTGTGTTGGTTAAGCCACCCGGTCCCCATGGTAGCTGTGACAGAAGTCTGAGACGACTAGGACAGGGAGATAGTTAATCTGCTTTATGAAGGATTATCTCCTTGGCAGATGGCCCTAGCTTCCCCCACTCTAATTTTTTTTAAAAATATCAGATTCAATCCTTTTCCCACTTCAAGTGCTACTCTGGACACTCTCCAATGTCTTCACTCCCCTTTTGAGTTCTGGAGCACCAAACCAGACTCGTTCTCCAAGGCTATGTTTAGCAGGCAAGAAGGCTGGGACACTTAATAATCTAGGCATTTTGTGGAGTTCACAAAAATAAAAGTGAATAAAATAAAATAATAAAATGAAAGTAGATCTTTACATACTGTCTTGTAGAAGAGCTTTTCTGTTGGTTCCCCTCAGAGGAGAAAGGCGATCAAAGATGTTTGTGGAAATGCAAAGCCCCAAATTTAGGCTAGGAAATGATCTCTGACGGATGTGTTGTCGTTCGGGCCACAGAACATGCCTTTGGAAAGAAGCTTTCAAGCTTGGATCCTACATTTTTACTTTAAACCCCTCTTATTCCACTAGCCTGTGAGCTCCTTGGGGGTGGGGGCCGTGTTTAAATCATTTTTGTGTCTCCAGGATATAGCACATGGCGGGCACCCACTACTACATCTTTGTGGAGTGAACATCTATTTTAAGCGTCTATCCAAATAAAGTAGAAAACTTGGAGCCATAAACTCCTGAGACCTGGTACTCCCAGGCCAGGGAATATGGGATTCCCAAATGGAGGTCTTATCAGTGGCACTCTGTCGGCCAAAGTCCTAGGGGAACACAAACCAGAAGAGATGGAGTCCAAGTAAGTTGCTAGACTTCCATTTCCAACCAAATGAGGATATGCATTGTATTATTGCTCTATCTCTCTCACTGATTACAACTAAATATTCTGAACAAAATATTAAAAAGCAATTAACTGAAGACTCTGAAAAGTAAAAAAAAAAAAGCAGCTGGATTGGGGAGTGAAGTCAAAATCTGATGAATGACAGGTATCACAGGAGTGAGTTTCCTGGAATTTGTTTTCTCCTGGCTTTGACTCAAGGATAAGCTGAATTGTGAAATCGCCCAGAAGTCATGAACAGCAACAACCCCAAGAAACAGCCCATCTTCCTGGTCAGATGACCCAGAAAGGGGCCTCCCTGCAATATAGAGAGCGTGGGGAAAATCTTGGGCTTTTTTCCCTCTCTCAGCTCATCCCCAAAGCCAGATGTGGTCCCCAAACTGGGCATAACCTAGAACTGGAAGTTAGAGCAATAGATATTATCCAGTCTGGAGAATAGCAAGAAAAATGTTCGGAAAATAGTGAATAGAGTCTCGGGGATTTATGGGATAATATGAAGTGGTCTAACATGCACGTCATTGGAGCCTTTGACAGAGAAGAGAAAGGGATTTGTATAGGGAAAAGTATTTGAAAAATCAATGGCTGAAAACTTCCCAAATTTGGTGAAAGACATAAATTTACAAATTCAAGTATCTCAGCAAATCCCAAATAGGATAAACTTAAAAGAAAATGAAAATGAACCTCTCCCCCACTCCCTATATTGTTACCTACCCTTATCCTCAGCTGCCTGGACTGCCAAGGCTTCTGAGCTTTGCCCCTGGGGAAGGGACAAGAGCACAGGAATAGGAGTCAGACCCCAGGCCCCGGGAATAATCCTGGCTCCATGACTCAAGTGTGAGACCCAGAGAAAACCAGTTCCCTTGCCTGGGCCTCAGTTCCTCCTCTAAAAGAATTTCAGAGTTGAACTAGGTGGCCTCCTCTAAGTCCCTTTCAGCTCTAAAATATCATCCTTTATGAGCTCCCATGTGAACTTTTTCTGCTCAAAACCGGTAACATCAGAACCCAATGCAAGAAACTACTTTTCTGCCAAGGGTCTTTTCAACCTTCATGATGGTGCAGGCGTGACTCAAATGAAGACGGCCGCAGGACAGAACTAAAAATGGAGTTTCACGGCAGCCTCAGTGGAAGTCAGCTCTCCCCGGCAGCTTTCTACAGAGCCCAGCAGGCACCGTGGGAATCCTGGGATTCCCTGGAAAGGACAGGAAGCTCTGTAGCAACCTTCTCACTCTCACTAAATTCGCGCCCAGTCTCATCATGCTTTCCAGATGCCAAGGAATGGAACACAATGCTCCCAGCTGCCTCAGACGCTGAGTTTGACTTCAGGTCCGGTCAGAATACGTTAACTTGCCTGTGTCTGTAAACACGTTAGTCACTGCCGTTTGTGTAGCGTCTTGCTGTTTGCAGAGGAGTTCCACCTGCATCGCCCAGTCTCCCCGCCATCCTCCTTTGAGGTAGGTGGTAGCAGTCATCTGTCTGAGAGTTGTTGTGTGTGTGTGTGTGGGGGGGGGTTACACCAGACCACCCAGCACTAAGCTGGAGCAAGAGCCTGCTCTTCAGGCTTCCAGCTTTGTCCTCTCTTCCCACCGCCAAGACCCAGAGTCCTGGGCAATGCGAGGACTGTGAGCTGCTGCCATCGGTCGAGGGACCAATTACCCCACATGGGAAGGACGGGGGCTGTAGAAGGGATCCAGGTCCTCCGGGCTCATTCCTCCGGAGGGGAACACGGCATTGCGAGCCAGCGCCAAGACTCTTGGGTCCCTCTGCCGTTGGCTCACTTGCTCCTAGCCAGGCCGCTTGGCTCGGAGAGGCTCTCTGGGGTTAGACGCAGAAAGGTTTTGATCCCCACGCCCTGCAGATGACGGCTCTTCTGAAAACGTCTTTCCTCCTCTCCCTCCGGCTGCTTGTGAACGTGCTGGGCCTTAAGTCAAGAGGGCCTCGGGGTTGATGGTACTCCTTCAGGTTTTGGGGCTTGGCCTCGACCTCCCCTTGCCCTTGGCACTCCTCCCTGCCAAGGTGTCGCTGTTCCCTCCCATTCTCGCACACCCTCGGCCCCACTCTGCACGGATGCTCTGGGGGCCATCCTCCCCTCCCTTCTCCAGCCATTTTCAGCTCATTTATTCACACATTGCCTCCTCATTTGCAAGAGAACTGCAAAGTAGTCTCTTTGAGTGTGATAATTCTGAGTCACCGCACACTGTCATCATTTCAGAACAAAAAGAAGTCAAAAGGTGGGTGGGTTCATTTCATCTACAAGGGAATAGGCCTTCTCTTCTTTGTTTTCCCCTTGGTGACTCACTCAACCTGAATCAAAGCTGAGTGGTCTTGGCCTTCAAGTAGGAGGCTGGGGGGATGTAGGGGAAGCAGAGTAAGCACCCCCAAAACTGGGGCCTGGGCCTGAACCCCAGGAGCCATGTTCAGGTGGCAGGGAATGTGCAGAAAGGGACTGAGGAAATAGAGAGGTAGCGTGACAGCAGGTGGCGCCCCCGCTCATGTCTGGACCTTGGTTTTCCCATCTATGAAAACCCCAAAAGAATCACACTAGAGCAGGCAGGGAAAGGACTGGGACGATGACTTCACTGTACCTGTTTCCCTGATTCATGGTGTTTTCCTACTTAAGAATGAGAACCTGGATTCAGGAAAGGAAGTCCAACCCTCCCCTGGCTTAGGTGTTAGACAGACTTAGGTTTAGATCCCACCACTGCCACTTCTTGGCTGTGTGACCTTGGAATAATTACTTAACCTCTCTGAGTCTTGGTTTTCTGATTTGTCAAAAGGGAATAGTAGTACTTATCCTTGGTTAAGGGGTCAAGGGCCTTGTGAGGATAAACTATAACATCTGTGAAGCGCCTAGCACAATGCCTGCCACGATCAATATTATTACCCCCAACTCACATATAAGATGAGTAGGAGAGTGGACAGGTAGGCTGGGCAGCCTCGGACAACGTCATTTAATCATATCCAGTTTCTCCATTGGTGAAGTGGGAATAATAACATGTGCTTTTACAAGAGCATTGTGAACATAGTAAAGACTCCATCATAGCATTGGGCAATGGTGGGTCCTCTAGAGGTGCCATGGCTATAATTTTGCTTAACTCAGAGGTCACCTGCGGGCGCTAGTGCCCCTAGAAAAGAGTCCCCAGAAAACAGCAGAAGTCTTTAGGTCAGAGCCAGCGTCAGAGCCTGGAGGGGCTGGGCCAAAGCAGGAGACACCAGTGGGTTATGAGCCAGAAAATAAATGTAGGACCAAGACACCATCCAGGCCACCATCCAGAATCCAGGCCAAGCCCAGCACCCAGAGGTGTGGGGCAGGGTGCCCAGGCAGGCAGGGCACAGCACCTGGTGGGAGACTCGTCCCTCAGGACTAGAGTCGCTGCTCCACACACCCAGTTACTCAGCCGTGCTCTCCACCGCCCGGTTTCCCGCAGCCTCCCGGGCGGGTGTGCGGGCCTCACTCACCAATGCAGGCTGCCAGGCAGCGCTCTGCAGGGGCCTGGAAGCAGTGAAGCAACTTCCTGGGACAACAGCTGTCAACGTGGGACGAGGTCACAGCACGAAGCCTAGGAGCATGAACGCATTCCTTTTGGGAAAGAAGAACTTTTTGTCTTTCTCATGTTGGAAGCCAGTATCTGCGGGGTTTCAGTCATGCTATCTAGCCTGGGACAAAGTCATTTAATCTTACTCGGTTTCTCGTTGTTCCCTTGCAGGTGGCCTGGGGGTACACCAAGAACTAACTCTGTACCATTCAGGGAGAGCCGACGGGATTCATCTACCCACTCCCTCCTCTCCACAAGAAATTCCCCCTGGACGATCAGCTCTTTGGGGCTCCTGTTGTGGTTTCCCAACAGAACCATGACAAAAGCAACTGCTAAACACATCACATACTGTTCTGCCTTGGTATGCTAACTTGCATCACTGTTCAGCCTGGAATGTCCTCTCTACCCTTCAAAATCCAATATAGCTCCAATCCCAGTCCAGCTCCAGGAAGCCCTCCCAAACCTCTATCGACCACCGCAACTGTCCCTTCCCCAAGACACATACATGGTCATACTACCATTGTTCTTCCTGGGTAACTCTTACTCTATTGCTTTGTTTGTCGGCCTCTGTCTTTGTTATTTTCATTTTTTCCTTCAAAAATGTTGGTTTCCTCCACCTTTCTCATTTCTTGTTTCTGACCAATCACCAAAGCCCCTTGGTTGGACCTCTCAGAGATCTCCCAAATCCATCAACTTTCTCTCCACCTTTCGGGACTGTTTCCTAGTTCCAGCCACCGTCACTGCAGCAGCCTCCTAACCGGCCTCCCCGGATAGGGTCCTGCCCCCTCCCACCCACTCTCTGCCCTGAGGCCAGAAGACTCTTTCTAACCTGCAAATCTGCTTCAAGCACTTTATCCCGCTGGACTTGAGCTACAACTCAAGTATACTCCCCAGCAGGCCTTTCGAAATCTTTCACCCCTTGGCCTCTGCCCACCTTTCCATCTCGTCTCTCAACATTCCCCACCTGCTCCACCAGTGTCACGAGGCCTGCCACGCTCTGGCCAAGAGGAGCCCCTCTGAGCACGTCACACACCTACGTGCATGAGCACCTGCACGTTCTCTCCACCTGGAGTAGGCTTCCGTCCCAGCCCCGCCCCCACACAGTGCGTGTGTGGCCCACATGTCCTCGGTCCTCAGGTGTCCACTCCGTTATCTCAACCCCCTAGGCCTTGACATACCCGGAGTACCCTGTCCGCTCCCCACCACTGCACTTCTTGTTCCCGTTTTTGTAGTCGCCTGTTTACTTGCCTCTGTCCACCCAGAATACACGTGATTTCAGAGCAGGAACTATATCTGCGCAGTGGAATGTCGTACCCCAGAGCCAGGCCCAGTGTCTGCCTCTGTCTAGTAGATGCTTAAGAAATAATTTTTGAATGACTGAATGTCAAAAAGAATGAATCTGTACATCCAAATCCTCAAAGGCATTTGAGGATCTAGGTGCTTGAGGATCTAGGTGCTTCTCTGTATCTCCCTTTAGTGCCTAACTCAGGGCCCTGTGGATTCTAGGTGCAAAGGAAATAGCTACTATTTGCTCTTAGCACAGAGGCCTCATCATTTTAACAGCATGCTTATCTATTTCTTGATGTTTCCCTGTGCTCAGACTGAAGGCTTTTGAACTACATGCTAGCGGGAATGTGGCTGGTACCACAGCGACCTAGATCTGCTTCCAGGGTGCTGGCCGAGCGGGGTCCCCAATCAGGGCTGAGAGAACCACAGAATTCAAGGCTTTTGCATTTGGGTTGTTTTGGTCTGACACTGGCTCTGACCTATGTGACATTTAGTAGAACCTCAGTGGGCCACTCATCCAGGAGTAGCAGGAAAGCCAGGAACTCGAGTTCCAGTCCCGGTCCCTTCACCATCCAGCTAAATGATTGTGGGCAAATCGTTTAGCCTCTCTGGAGTTCATTTTCCTCATTAGCAAAATACAGTAAGGGAAAGGATCAGTCATTTGTCTTCACTTACAACTCTGAGTTGTTATTCTATGAAAAAACATGTCACCACATTCCACCAGAAGTAAAGAAGAATTGAACTGTTTTCAACCTGAAAATCAGGATAATTAACTCCTTAGAAGTGAGTTACACGTTTTATGATAATAATCTCATACATTATACGGGGCATTAAACTTTGTAGTGAGTCTTCATATTTTTTATTCTTTTAATTACTGTGGCAGAAGCAACTATATGGGTATGCCAATATCCATTCTCCCCCTCTTCCCTGTCAAGTTTATTAGAAATGGTGATATGCCCAGTTAAAAACTACATTCCCCAGCCTCCCTTGCAGCTAGATATGACCATGTGACTAAGTTCTAGCCAATAAGATAGAAGCAGAAGTGTCATGTGTGGCATTCAGAAAGCCTCCCTCAAGGCAGAACAATACATACTTTGCCCTCTTCATGCTTTCTGCTGGACCGAATGAGAGAACAAGAGATGTGAAACCCGGGCAGCCGTCCTGGCCCATGAGGTGACGTACCAAGAATGGTGACGCAGCAAGAAAGAAAGAGCGTGGGTCCCCAGCGCCAGGTGCCACCATCTCCATCCTGGGCTATCCTTTTGGGCTTCTTTGGCATGAAAGAGAAATCAGTTCTATCCTGTTAAACTACTATTATTTCTGCTTTCCCATCAAATGTAACTAAATCCAATTCCAAACTGACAAAACAATCATCTGCTTTATGCAAGACCCTGTGCTAGATGCTGCAGGGGAGGCAAAGGTATGTAGGATTTGGATTCACAAAGACTTGGGCAACAAGGTTCTGTCTGGGGTTGAAGGAAGCGCCATGAAGAGTTTGACTAAGCAGGGAAGGGGAGTTATGGGACAGGCAACAAGGGAATAAATATGATGGAAAAGGGCTTGAATGCCAGGCTAATGAGGCTGGACTTCATCCTGTCGCAGACAAACAGAGCAGATAACCTTGCCCCCAAAGTGCAAATGAAGAAGCCCAGCCTCAGCAGGTTACAGGACTTGCCCCAGGTCACCCAGACACATAGTGGCAGAACCGATCTCAATTCTCCTGCCACTTGGTCCTGTGCCATCTTACAATTCTGCACTGCTTTTGAAAGAGCCTGGAGCAGAAGGAGTAAGGATGGAGGACTTGCACTTTGGCACAGCCAGGGAATGGTCCCCCATCTCCCATCACACCCCCACACCTCCAAGAGGAGGCTTTGGGGAGTTTCCAGAAGTCTAGGATCTAGATCTGTCTTTAACTCAGAGGACTTTCCCTGGGCCCTTACTCAGACACCAGCACCAGGCTGTAACAGCCAGGGTGCTATCTTACTGTTACTATGTCATAAGTGCCAATGTGTCAGGCACCGTGCTGGGTGATTTACACACCTTATCTAATGTACTGTCTTCAAGAGCCTAAAAAAGGGAGGATATACTCATGGTTTGCAGATAGAGATGAAGAAACTGAGGGTCTAGGAAATGAAGGTACCTACCCAAGGTGAGTGAGTTGATGGCAAAGTTGAGGTACAAAGCCCTGTTTGTTCAACTCCAAAGACGAGTTCTTAGCACCACCTTCTAACGTGGTCCCGGCCCCTGCCAGAGCATAGAACAGGCTCCTGTCCCCGCTCAGGCTCCAAGGACTTACCTAGTCTGATGGGCCGATGAGTGCTGGGGACCTCCTGCCAGTGTCCAGCTGTGCACGTTCTGGAATCACATCACCCACGCCCTGTCCATGACCCCACGTGGGTCCTCAGACACCCGACTTCGGTCCTCCCAGGGCTCTTAGCCTTGGCTGGGCAGGGGGCAAGGGGTGTCGGAGCCCTCCCAGTCTAGGTTCTAGAGTTCACAGATTCCAGTAGGCTGTTTCATGGGATCTGGGACACTCCGTTCTTTGTGTCCTGCCTGTGGCTGTCATGGTTAGAATGCATTTGTGATTCGAGCTGACATTCTTTCAGGAAACAACTGGTCATCGGAACTGAATCTGCAACTGCTGCCAACATTTTGGAAAGTTAGGTTTCATTTCATCGGTCATCCAGGGTATATCTTTTTAATAATGTGGTATGTCCCGTGTTCCAGCATGAGCCACATAGCCCCCCAAGCTGGCCACCCGCTTTCTTCCGGAGCTCCCACAGGAAACACCCTGAGATGCAGGCTGCAGCGCCGAAGGCGACAGATGGACCTCAGCCTCTCTTCATTCATTGCCCAGCTCTGAGGGGCCAGGCCCCTCGCCAGGCTTTGCCCTGGGTCGTCACCAGTCCCCACCATTTCTGTCTGGCACAGCCTCCCTTCCCACTGGCCAAACTCCCTCCATTCCTTTTCAAACTCAGCCCGAGTCTCTCACCCTACGTTCTCCCCCCTAATCAGGCTGAAGTTGGAACCCAATTTTATTACAACTGACTGACTATATTAGGCTTAAGCCCAAGCTCTAGCAGATTTTAACAGTTTTTGATCCGTTTCCCTGTAAACAGTGTAATCAACATTCTCATTCTCAGAAGCACTACTTAAAGCATCTGAAGATCAGACACAAAAGAGTCATCTAGATTTGTTCATGACAAAGTTTTCTGAAGACACAAGCAGATTCGGTCAGCTACAGAAGCCCATACAATTCTTACGAACACTTTCATGCATTGCGGCGTGGCCAAAATGTCTAACCAGAGCTTTGTCATTATACCTGATAGACATTCTTATAAACAGTTCTTACTCAATCCTCATAACCCATAACCTGTCACCCCTACGTGACAGTCAGTTAAACCATTGGAGCCACATGATTAACGAAGGCTTCTTCATTGGCTGCCGCAATCTTGTGAATATCGTGCCTTAAGCGTGCATATATAGCAGCGCTTTGGGTTTACACATCCTCCTAGCAAGAACCAGCAGTTGAAGAACTGTGAAGCCCTATCACTGTACGCGTGCAGGCCGTTCTTTTAGACAGGCAGCAAAGGACAGTGGCAAAAGTGAGGCTGGGCTCCAGACCCAGCTCTACCTCTTTTTTTTTTTTTTTTTTTTTACTGAAAGCTCAATCAATTTTTTTATTTCGGCATATTATGGGGGTACAGATTTTAAGGTTTCAATAGATGCCCACTCCCCCCCTCCCCCCTCAAGCCTGAGTCTCCAGCATGACCATCCCCCAGATGGTGCACATCTCACTGGTTATGTATGTATATACTCGCCCCCCTTCCCCCTCCCACCTGCCCAATACCCTATTACTGTAGTGCCTATGTGTCCACTTAGGTGCTGCTCAGTCAATACCAGTTTGCTGGTGAGTATATGTGGTGCTTGTTTTTCCATTCCAGCTCTACCTCTTAACAGTCATGGGATCTCTATTAGGTCATTTGCACTCTCTGCACCTCAGACTTTCCATCCGTAAAGTGGAAATTATAACAATGCACAAAATTCAGATGAGATCATGGATGTGAAGCCCTCTGCAGGCCATAATGCAACACTCAAACGTCAGCCATTATTTTTCCCCCATACATGAACTCTTAATTTCCACAACCTCTGAGATGGATAGATACCAGCATCTACTTTCACAGAGGTGGAGGCTCAAGTGAGTAAGCACTTGAGGACCTGAGGTGCAAACTCAGGTCTCCCCATCCGATACTCTTCCCCTCTGTGCTGGGGCACAGTCCGCGGCTCCCATCTCTGCACACAGCTGTGTCGTCTGCCTACACTGAGCATCACATCACAGAGCCCTGGGGCGTACATCCGGAGTCAAATCAGTTGTCAAAAGCCACACACTGGGAAGAGGTGGATAGAGGAAACCCATCCAAGTCCCCGAGGTCTCCACTGGCCTTGAGCCCACCCTACCTGCAGCCTTTCAACAAAAGCATGTTTGCCGAGTACCTTGGGAGCACCTGCCACCAACAGCTCTGGGTTGAGCAAGCCCTGGGGGAAGCAGCCAGGACTCAATGGCACTGTCCTGAAGAGGCTTCCCATCTGGCTGCAGCAAGGACTCAGAGACACAGATAAGCATCAGTCAAGCACAAAGCAGCACATGGTCCGGTTACAGACGAGTGACAAGGCCAGAGGGACATTCCAGGTGGTCTTCATGGAGACACTGGCAATTTCTGAAGCTCCCCATGGCTCCATGAGGCCCAAGAGCCTCCTCAGCTTGGGGAAACACCAAATCTGCATTATCACCCCTCCTCCCTCAACCCTGCTTTGATGGTCCCTCTCTCAGCCCTGTCCCTTCCTGTCCCCAAAGCTACCTCGTCTCCTCCCATCCCCTCCACCCCAGTGCTGTCCAACAGAGACAGCATGTGAGCCACATTTATCACTTGAAATGTTCTAGCACACACATTAAAAGAAGGTGAAATTAATTTTAATAATATATTTAATTTAACCCAATACGTCCTAAATTTTATTGTTTTATCATGTAATCAATATAAAAAAAAGATTGAGAATTTTACATTCTTCACACTAGGCCCTCAAAGTCTCGTGTGTGTTTTACACTTAGAGCAAATCTCAACTCAGATGAGCCACACTCAAGGGCCTGCAGCCGCTGTGGCTCCTGGTCACTATTGGACGGTGCAGCTGTAACCCAGTGGTTGCTTCTCTCCAGCCTGTGCCTTCAGCCCATCCCTCCCCCCCTGCCCCCCTCCCCCCGATTCTAGCCACCCTGCTTGTCTCTTGCTCACACTCAAGCAATAGCCTTTGAACCAGCTCCTGTTCTTCCTTTTCCAATCCACCCTCCACCCTGCTGGCCAAGCCTCCCCTAAAAAGCAACTGTGACTCCCACTGATTCTCCATTGCCCATGGAATTCACACCCTTCTCAACTGGCCCTGAAGGATCCTAGGAGCTGTCCATCTCTGTCCATCCATCAGCCACACCCCACACCCCTATGACTGCCTGTGGTTCCCACAGCCCACCCAGGCTTCCCTCCTCCCAGCCTCTGTTCATCTGGCCGCTCTGCATGGAACACTATGCCTTTATTTGCCAAAATCCCATGCACCCCACAATGCCCTGCCCAGCAGCCACCTTCTCCGAGAACTCCTTCCCCCATTGTCTGATTTGAAATTGATTGTACCATCCTCAGAGTTCCCAAAGCAGTACATCTGTCCC